ATCTTGAGGAAGCGCTATTCCTAGTTGTCTGAGACAGCGCCAGATTGATTTCCAGAGTGGTTGTACCAGTTTACATTCCCAGCAGCAGTGGAGAAGGGTTCGCCTTTCTCCACAACCTCTCCAGCATGTGTTGTCATTTGAGTTTTTGATCTTGGCCATTCTGATGGGTATAAGTTGAAATCTCAGGGTTGTTTTGATTTGCATTTCCCTAATGGCTAATGAGGTTGAACATTTCTTTAAGTGCTTCTCTGCCATTCGATATTCCTCTACAGAGAATTTTCTGTTTAGCTCTGTTCCCCTTTTTTTAAGTGGATTACTTGGTTTGCTGATTTTCAGCTTCTTTAGTTCTTTATATATACTGGATATGAGTCCTCTGTCAGATAAAGGGTTGGTGATGATTCTTTCCCAATCTGTAGGCAGTCGCTTTGCTTTGATGACGGTGTCCTTTGCTTTACAGTAGCTTTTCAGTTTCATGAGATCCCATTTATTGATTGTTGCTCTCAGAGCCTGTGCTGTTGGTGTTCTGTTCAGGAAGTTGTCTCCTGTACTAATGAGTTCTAGGGTATTCCCCACCTTTTTTTTCTAGCCGATTTAATGTATCTGGTTTTATGTTGAGGTCTTTGATCCACTTGGACTTCAGTTTTGTGCAGGGTGATAAGTATGGATCTATTTTCATTTTTCTACATGTAGACATCCAGTTGGACCAGCACCATTTGTTGAAGATGCTATCTTTTTTCCATTGTATGGTTTTGGCATCCTTGTCAAAAATCAGGTGTCCATAAGTGTGTCGGTTTATTTCTGGGTCTTCTGTTCGGTTCCATTGATCCACCATTCTGTTTCTATGCCAGTACAATGCAGTTTTTATAACTGTTACTCTATAGTACAGCGTGAAATCAGGGATGGAGATACCTCCAGAAGATCTTTTATTGTAGAGGATTGTTTTAGCAATTCTGGGTTTCTTGTTATTCCATATGAAGTTGAGAATTTTTCTTTCGGGCTAGAGAGATAGGTCAGCCGTTAAAGGCTAGGCTCACAACCAAAAATATGATTTCATTTTTTAAAAAATATATCTCTCCAGGACAATTTTTTTTCTCAGCTATGATAAAATGTATTGAGACTAAGAGTCAGTCACGAGTCAAATATGTGTATGATGTGTGTTTACATTCTATTGAACTTACCAACTAGAAAACAGTGTGAGAGATGGGTACTGGGAGAGTAGTAGAGTAGAGCAAAGTTGTGTGTTTGGACAGGATCCATGCTTCCCAGACACTCCTGGTCTGTCATGAGGTAAATCTGCAAAGCCGCAAGACAACACCTTCAGTTTATCAGCTTTTGAATGGAGTATCGTTCAACTTTTTGGCTTTTAAACTGTTTGTTATGAAGACAATGTAAGGAAACAATTAACAGTGGAATGTGGTAAGAAATTGGGAGAGGAACCCAGGGAAAGGCAGTTGTTTATTAATAACAAAATTTAGTTGAGTACTTCAAGTACCTATCGCATGATATTTTTTAATCTCAGTGACTATTGAAATGTCTGCATGGGATATAGTATTGCTTTTCTTTCCATTTCAAAAGAATGCAGGTAACCAAGGCAGAGAGAGTCATCAAGTAGCTTGTCTAAAGTGAGGTGGTCTTTGAACTGAGGTCTAGGCAGGTTCCAGAACTTGTTCTCTTAAGTCATGTTATTCTGTCTGTTCAGATCTCATGCATTCAAATTTCTTAAGCTTGATAGAACTTTTCTTCCCCAAAGTTCTTGAAAAATGAACTATAGAATAATAGAGCCTGTAATGGTTGATGATTTTTTTATTAGAAACTCCTTGCTAATGACCAGCTGCATAATCTTGTGAATGCAGTCATAATATATAAAGGTTCTTCTCCTATGCAGGGTTTTATGACAGGAGGAGATGAAAAGGAGAGAGTGAGGAGGGAAATTACATCAATATAGTACTCATTTATGAAGGTCTCAAAATAAAAAAAAAATCTCTAATGAATTAAAAACAAACAATGTCTTAGAATAGAAAAGATGCAATGAGTATACCAGATATCCAGAATTATCTTCCAATCTGACTGAGGAAGTTCCTTCAGAAGGTCATCCTTAGAGACTGAGAAAAGTCAATTTCTCTTTCTTCATCTGTTTGTCTTTCTACTTGCCTTCCTTCCTTGCTTGCTTGCTTGCATACTTCCTTCCTTCCTTGTTTCCTTGCTTGTTTGGTTGGTTGCTTTTTTTCTGACTTTTCCTTTTTTCTTTCCCTCCATTTTCTTTCTTTTTTCTCTTCCTTCCTTCCTTCCTTCCTTCCTTCCTTCCTTCCTTCCTTCCTTTCTTTCTTTCTTTCTTTCTTTCTTTCTTTCTTTCTTTCTTTCTTTCTTTCTTTCTTTCTTTCTTCTTTTATTTCATTTCTTTTTTTGAGGTAGGACCTTCTACTGTAGCTAGGGCTGACCTTTTTGTCTCAGACTCCAAAGTGCTAGGATTAGCAAGAGACACCACACCCAGCTTCACAGTCTTTAGTAACAATTTTTATTGCAACCAGAAAGTACTCAGTTTTCCTTTTCACATTTGTCTCTACACACTGTGTGTACTCTGAACCTATCTCATATTACAGCATTTCAGTTTATCTAGGGTGAAGAGGAAGAGTATTGTTCTATTGCCACTGCATAAATTCCAAAGTCTAGAAAGGGCTCTGAGAGACCAGTTTCATTTCCTGGAAGACTTCAAAACAGATAAGAATGTTTTCTAATTTTAAACTGTTCATTGAAGGAGGGTTTAAGTATTAATGAAGCCTTTCTTTAGTTTCCAAAGTTTCTTTCAACATCAGTCAGGAAACTTCTTCCTCTTTCCATATGTATATTCTTTTTGCTGTATGTTAAGATGTTTTATTTCTCCTGCAGCCTCACTGAGGATGGAGAAAAACTGCTTTCCATATGTCAGAACAGATCAGTTGCTCAATTAGAGACACTCCTCAGCCAAATTGGGCCTTTTGAATGTCTTAGGATGTCTATGACTGAAGAACAAGAAGTGAAAATGAGGCCGGAAGTCCATGGGACAACCTCACTTTCACTGTGCAGCTCACTCCAGGACTCAAGAACTTGAAAATTTGCCATTCAGTCAAACTGAACACACATCTGCTCCCATGTTCTGTGTGTCTGTTGCTTCCTGCCAATACATTCTTCACAAGTGTACTTTCCTTGTCCCTTTGGTGTAGTATACAAATATAATGGTCTTGAAGTCAGGTAATTTTGATTAAAATAGTATAGACTGACTTAAGTCATTTCAGTGGAAAAGGAGAATACACACACAAACACACACACACACACTCGAAATTGGGACAGAACACCTACCTAGAAGAAGTGGCTTCTATTTTATATATATATATATATAATTTTATTGATAGTAAGGTATTTGTTCCACGATCTATCTGGTTCATGTCATTGCTCTACTCTAGCAACTTGCTCTACCAATTGCTTTGCTTAACTTACCAAGATTTGGATCATAAATTCTGGAGAAATTAGATTCCCCCACCTGGTCTTTGTTTTTTCCCATATCTGTTCTATCTGATATTTATGTCAGTAGTTCTATGTTTTATTTTGTTTCTTCTTGCCTGTTTGTCTTTTCTTTTTATTTTAGGACAAGCTCTCCTTAAATTGCCTGGCTAGTCTCTTGAACATGCTATGTAATCGAGCCTAACACATAATTCTCTTGCCTTAGGTTCCAAAAGTACCTAGATTACCACTAAACACCACCATGCATGGTATGTTTCTTAATTAAAAGTTTCAGAAATCAAAGTTTAGTCTGGCTTATTTCTTGATGTCTGGCTATAATGGCACCCATTATTGGCTAGCCAATGAATTTGGTAGCATTTAATGTCAGGTGCCAATGTTTGTACTCAATTACTACAGCTAAAGGCCTGGTCATGGGTTATAAAATGTGAGTCAGGTGCTCTTAGAGCACTGTGATAACATGTAAATCCAGACTTATTACTGTGGTTTGAAGAGATAGGTTGTTCCATAAGGTTTCTCTCTAATGACCAAAAGGTCTAAGCCAGTGGGAAATGACTGAATGGGGCTGTATCAATTCCTTTTCTTGTTTTTGTGAAGAAATAACTTATAAAAACTTAAGGGCTTTTTTTTCGGTTCACAATTAGAAGCTGTGACACTGAGAAGTTCCCTAGAAGTAGTAGTAGCTGGAGTTTGAGTCACATTGTATCTGCAGTTAGGAAGTAGAGAGAGATGAATGCTGCCTCTTCTTCATATTTTCTCTTCTTTATTCAGTCTAACACTGAATGAATAGCATAGTATGATCTATATCCAGGGTAGTTCTTTTCATCACAATTAGACCTTTCTGGAAAGGGCCACACAGATATGCCCAGAAACGTGTGTTTTAGGTAACTGTAAGTCTCCTGAATTGACAAAGTTAATCATTACATGGGGGTATAGAAGCCAAGGAAAGAAAAGATGCTTGGTTTTTGCTTGAAATGATATTTTGAAAAAGAGAGAGTATAGTACCCTGTTTAGCACATGAAGCTTCCTCAACATGGACAGTTTGTATCTCTGCTCAGTAGCATCACAGGGAGTTTGCCAGAATAGGTCTTATAGTGAATCCTTGTGTGTAAAAGAAAGAAAAATGTCTGTAAGAGGAATATCGACCTATCTTGATTTCATATACCATTCTCTCATTGTCTGCCCTATCTATCTATCTATCTATCTATCTATCTATCTATCTATCTATCTA